CTGCCCTGTCTGGGGTCGCTCTGCAGAGACCCTAAATGGATTTCCTTGTAGAGGGCCAGACTGCTGAATTGCCCCATAACATTTTGGGGGGCCTGAGGAAGGCCCCTCTGCCAATTTCCCTGCAGGGGATTCCCTTGGTATTCCTTTTTTGATTTACATCCATTAGCCCAATGTTTTTCTCTTTTTTTGGTCCCCAGGCTTATTCCTTTATCAGGACACTGCTTGATCTCATGCCCCATCTGACTACACCCAAAGCAACTTCCAGGAGATCTGTTAATTCTCCCTCTCCCTGGGCCTTGATTTCTTTATCAGAAGAGAACATCCTTAACTATTTTTCCCTGTGATGTAGCAGCCATGGCTAAGCCCTGACTATATGAGGGCCCAGTATTTGAACAAAGGTGAATATAATCAGAGATGTTGTCTTTCTTTCTAAAAGGTCTCAAAGCAGCCTGATAGGCAGCATTAGCATTCTCATACACTAGCTCGTTAGCAAAGGCCTAGATTCTCCATCCCCAATTCACCTGCCTGTTGTTGACATTAGCCTAGAGACAAAGACCTAAAATAATCCATCAGGTTCCTGCCTTATTTTTGACAAGTCCTCAGTATATTTTCCAGAAGATGGAAACTTATTTCAGGCCTTCTTGGCAGCTGCACTGATCTGGGCATACACTGCCACACCATAATTTAACTGCTGATCTGTCTCCTGATAAATGCCTTCTCCAGCGAGCATATCAAAAGTAATGGGAATTTATTGGGACCACTTTATTTCAGCTGTGACTTGACATTGTTCAGCAAATTCAGTTTTCCACAACAGGTAGTCCCTGCCTGACAGGCAAGCTTTGGCCATCTGTTTCTGATCTCCGGGAGGCAAGGTCTCTACAGCCATGTTTTCTAACAGAGTTTGTGTAAAAGGAGCAGGGGACCTATATGGAGAACAGACTATTTTAAATTCCTTGAGTTGTTTAAATGGGATTGACACATGCACCCTGACTAAATTTCCCTGAGTGTCCAATTGCTCCATCACTGGAATCATCGGAAACCTTGCACATCCTCTTCTCTGCTAACTGCCGCTCTAATACTAGCTTGTGGATGAGATGCATGACTAACGGTGAGTGTTGCCATGTTCCAGGAGGTCTTTGCAACATAGACAGCCCCCTAAGTGGATCTAAACCAGCTGCTACAGTAGGCAGAAGAGTGCCCTTCCGAAAAGACTTGCAGAATCTCATTTTTATTTTAAAGGATAGCACCACATCTCTCAAGCCCTTTAGCTCCGGCTCAATCTCACCACAAGGTTTCTACCTCTCGTCATTCATGGTCAGACATGAGGAAGGGCTTCTTCCTCAAGCCCAGCAGTCAAACTGATCATCACCAAACAGCTCCTCTGGCAGTGTGGAGGGTTTTGCTTCTAACTGTTCCAGAGGGAAATACCTCCTGCCATTCAGGGCACAAATCCAAACTGTGCCACATAAATGCCCACAGACTAAGCATCCACTGGGACTCCTCCAGGATTATACTCATCATGTTGTTGGATTTTCACTCCAATTCTCTCGCGTGTGTCTGCATCCAAGGTCCCGTGCTCAGGAAGCTAAAGGCACACCTGCTCTACAAACTCAGAAAGTTTCTGTGCTTGCTGCTGCTCTACTTCAGCTCCTCTGGGCTGTTAAAATATATTTAAGCAAATGTATAAACAGCTGGCTACTATTACCCTCCCCGTATTTACAGCTTTCCTCCAAGTTACTCACAGCGCTTCCTCTTTGCTATTATCTGAGCCCCTTTCACCTGTACTGTCCTTCACTTAGGTTTTTAGGTCTCCTTTGTCAGGACCTGCCGACCTGTTGAACATGCCTGAAAAGGGGAGTGAGGACTGAGAAGAGAAAGAGACAAGAGACAGAAGATAGAGTCAGGAGGGCTCTCAGTAAATACTGTAGCCACCTCGAATTTATTTCTCATTGTCCTTTTATACCCCAAAAAAGAGGAGGACAAAAGACTTCAAGGAACAAACAAAAGCAATCATCTCCTTAATTGTCAAAACACATCTAGTGACCACACCTTTGGTTAAACATCCTGTCATTTGGCCTTGGCAAACTTGAACTCTTTGATCTTGAGTCAAGATGGGAATAGAGTCACTGTGAACTTCTACAATCAACCTACAATCCGCAGCCCCAGAGAGGCTAGATAGCAAAGAGGGCCCAAAGAGGGATGCGTGGATTTCCCTGGGAAGGGGAAATAGAAGAGATCTCCTGGATAAACTGGGGTGGGGGTGGAGGGATGGGAACTTGAGGGAGCAAGAGCTGGGTTGGAGGCTGGATGGAGGGGGGAAGTAATAAAAGAGGATGACCCCAGCTAAGAATCCTAGCAATACTATAGAGGGTGCCTAAACTGGCCATCTGCTATAATCAGATTGATTTCCTAACTGTCATCAGAGATAATCTATTCAGAAACTTAGGGAAGTAGAGGTAGAGATTCACAGCCAAGCACTGGACTGAGCTTTGGGAGTCTTGCTGATGAAAGGGAAAAGGGATTGTATGAGCCAGGGGGGTCATGATGGGGGAACTTACAGAGATAACTGACCTGAGCTCATGGGAGCTCATGAACTCTGGACTAACAGTTAGGGAGACTCCATGGGACCAATCTAGGTCTTCTGCATGTGTATGACAATGTGTCACTTAGTCTCTTTGTAAGACTACCAGTAGAGAGATCAGGACCTGTCTTTTTGGGACCCTGTTCTACATGCTGGATTATCTTGCCCAGCTTTGATGCAAGGAGAGGAGCTTGGTCCTGCCTCACCCTGATGTGCCATGCTTTGTGCAGGCCCATGGGAGGCCTGTCCCTTTCTGAATGGAGATGGAGGAGGAGTAGAAGGGGAGGGGCGTAGATGGGAAGGGGGGGGGGATCCGGAAGAGAGGAGGAAGGGGAAACTTCAGTTGGTATGTAAAATAAATAAAAAATATTATTTAAATAAAATAAAATAAGAAATAGCCAATCTCTTTTAAAAGTTCAAGTCTTTCAGCATAAACAATTCAATGTCCAACTATCTGGGTTTCACTGGAGATCTTCTGGAGTCCTCCAAAGAGTCTGGGTCACTTCTCAAGCTCTGCCCTCTGCAACACACATAGTTTATCTTCTAGGCTCCAGTTAGCTCCACTCCATTGCTGCTGCTGGTCTTCCAATGGTACTGGCATCTCCAAAATGCTGGGGCCCCTTGCTGCAACTGGGCTGCACTTCACCAATAGCCTCTCATAGGCTGTCTTCATGGTGTAAGGCTTCAACTTCTTTGCATGACTCCTTTAGCCTGGGCCTTCGACTACACTGAGGCTGCACCTGTACCAATGGCCTCTCCTGGCCTCTCACAGTGCCAAGTCTCAGCTGCTCTCCATGACCCTTCATGCCTTCAAAACCAGTATCATCTGGGTGATCCTTACACATTACCAAGTCTGGCTACCAACATGTGGTACAACCTTGGTCACCTCTGGAACAGATCTTCCCTGTGCTCTCAGGAAACACTCACCAGAAGAGTTCTGTGAAGCTAGTCTCAATCACCACTAATTTGTTAGCTCCATCATCAACTGTCCCTTTACAGCAAAATTTTGCTTCAGTAGTTCGGGTATTATGTTAATCTCAGCTGACTCTTCAGCCCCAGCTAACCAGAACCATATCATCTAATTCAAAACAGCAAATGGCCCTGGTAGAGTCTCTAATACTGCCTCTGAAGTTCACAGGCCGGGCCTCCATTTTCTCAACATTCTTATCTTCCAAGTTCCACAGAACGCCCCACAGAACTCTATTTGTTTTTTTTAATTAATTAATTTATTTATACAATATTCTTTCTGCGTGTATGCCTGAAGGCCAGAAGAGGGCACTAGACCTCATTACAGATGGTTGTGAGCCACCATGTGGTTGCTGGGAATTGAACTCAGGACCTTTGGAAGAGCAGGCAATGCTCTTAACCGCGGAGCCATCTCTCCAGCCTCCCCCCCCCCCCCCCCGAACTCTTAACACTCAAACTTCTAGCCCAAAGTTCCAAATTCCTTCCACAAACCTCACCAAAACATGGTCAGGTCTGTTACAGCAATGCCCTACTTCTGGTACCAATCTGTCTGCATTAGGATTTCTTTTGCTGTGATGAAACACCAGGACCAGCAAGTTGGCGAGGAAGGGGTTTATTTGGCTTACACTTTAGCATTGCTGCTCATCACTGAAGAAAGAAGTCAGGACAGGAACTCAAGCAGGGCAGGATCCTGGAGCAGGAGCTGATGCAGAGGCCATGGATCAGTGCTGCTGACTGGCTTGCTTCCCATGGCTTGCTCAGGCTACCTTCTTTTTTTATTTTAGTTTTTATAAAAAGGAAACAAACTGTCTTTTTTTCATTTTACATACAAATCCCAGTTCCCACTACCTCCCCTCCTCCCATCACTTCCACCTTTTCCCCCACCCCCATCCACTCCTCAGAGGGGATAAGGCATATTGCTTTGAGGAAGGACCAAGGCCCTCCCTGCTATATCTAGGCTGAGCAAGGTGTCCATCCAAAGAGAATGGGTTCCAAAAAGTCTGCCCAAGCAATTGGGAAAAATCCTGGTGCCACTGCCAGTGGCCCTGCAGTGTGCCCCAACCATACACTGTCACCCACATTCACAGGGTCTAGTTTGGTCCTTCCCTGTCTGACCAGAGTTGGTGAGCTCCCATTAGCTCAGGTAAGCTGTTTCAGTGAGTGTCCCCATCATGGTCTTGACCTCTTTGCTCATATTCCCACTCTTCTCACTCTTCAACTGGACTTTGGGAGCTCCGTCCAGTTCTCCGCTGTCAGTCTGGATTCTTATAGAATCCAGGACCAGCAGCCCCAGGGACGGCACCACCTGCCATGGGCTGGGCCCTGCCCCAATGATCACTAAATGAGAAAATGCCTTCCAGCTGGATCTCAAGGAAGCATTTCCTCAGCTGAGGCTCCTTCCTCTGATGACTCCAGTTTGTGTGGGAGTTGTCAACTGTTCTTGTTTTCACAGAATGGCTACACACCGCTTATACTGGCAGTGCTGGAAAACAAACTGGAGATGGTGGAGCTGTTGTTACGGGCCGCGGCCAATATAAACGCCCTGGATAACTACAAGAGGTACCTTCAAAACCCTTTTCAATCCTTCCAACATTCTAGAGTGGTTGTGATAATTTAAAACATCAATACTAAATTCATAAGAATTTAGCTTACACTTATAGGAAACACATTAAAACAAATTAACAGGTAGGTAGAAATTAACTGTTCAACTTTGTCTGTCTCTCACACATTCAAAACTATGGCAGGGCTCACATTTCCTAATATTGACTGATCTTTGTTACTTGAAGTCGACTTTTTAGTCATATGATTTTATATTAACTAAAATAGTTTCATATTAGCCTTATTTTTAGAAATGTAAACTGCTAGTTTAAGATTCCAATGAAAGGGGGCTGGAGAGATGGCTCATTGGTTAAGAGCATTGCCTGCTCTTCCAAAGGTCCTGAGTTCAATTCCCAGCAACCACATGGTGGCTCACAACCATCTGTAATGGGGTCTGGTGCCCTCTTCTGGCCTGCAGGCATACACAGACAGAATATGGTATACATAATAAATAAATAAATAAAAAAAAAAGATTCCAATGAAATTCTTAACAATTTTACAGTATTTCCCACCTCTGTCTCTTGCATACATTTCCTCTAAAATTCTGTATTAGTGAGAAATACTTTTGAAAATTGTTTTATATCTTTGATGGCTCTTTGCTTTAAGTTGCTTTGTTTGAAGAATATCAGTGTTGGATTATCTCCAAATGACCAGACTGCATCTTATTAGATTATTAATCAATGTCTCCCCGTCCTTCTCTGATTTATGTTGATGTGTTCAGCTTGTCACTAGTCTGACCAAATATAGAAGAAACCATTTAATGGAGGAAAAATTTATTTTGCGTCACAGTTTCACGGGCTCCAATCCACGGTGGGCTAGAGTTACCTTGGAGCCAGAGTAAGGTAGATTATTACAGGAAGTGGGGGCATGAAGCAGGGGAAGGTCTCATCTCCTTAAAGCCAGGACACAGAAAAACAGGAAGGTACCCTGACAAGGCAAACCCTTCAAAGGACACGGCCTAGTGACCCAGGTCCTTCCCCAGAACCCGCATGCTAATAGACAAGCTACCAACAATCTCACAAATGAATTCATATACAGATGCCGTTAGCACCATGTGATCTAATCACCTCAGTGGTGCAACCTCCTCGGGCCAACTCCTCAGCCCTTAAAACTTGAGTCGATGTCCACTCATTGGACTGGCATGTACAGAGGAACTCACCTAGCTCCACCCGAGTAAACTTCCAGTAATGAAAGCAGGTTCTAAGAGATGGATAAAGACAACTTAGCTTCCTCCTCACAAGACTGGGTTTATCTGTGCCTTCCTGATTAATGCATGGCCTCACAAACATTACTTATCACCAAATATATTTTCTGAGGTGAACATAAGGATATATTCCTTTTTATCATTTATCTTATTTATATGCATGAATGTTTTGCTTGAATGGATACATGTGCACCATTTGTCTGTCTGGTGCTCATAGAGACAAAAAGAGGGCATCAGATTCCCTGGAATTGGGGTCACAGTTTTGCACCATCATAACTGGGTCTGAAACTGGGCCTTCTCTACAAGAGCATTAAGTGCTCTTAGCTATGGAGCTAGCTCTCTAGTCTGCCAAAATCAGGATAATATTCTTGAAGAGTTGTTTTCACATGTCTATGTAGCATTGATATCAGCACCTAGCTCAAGGTAGTCAGACTCATTAACCAAATCACTGTTACCAAAAATTATCTTTAATTTTAAAGTTCTATTTATTTTTTATGTTTATGAATGTTTTGTCTGCATAGATTTCTGTGTATCACATACATGTCTGGTACCCAAGGAAGTCAGAAGTGGGTGTAAGATCACTGGGAGCAGGAGCTAATATGATTGTGAGCCACCATGTGGGTGCTGAGAACAGAACCCAGGTCCTCTGCAAGAACAAACAAGTGTTTTTAACCACGGAGCCATTTCTCCAACCTGCTATTATCTTTACTACTAATATTTTATATTAATAACTTTTGAAATAACACCAATAACTTTTCCTTGTTTGGCCTGTTGCTGACTATGAATTACAGTCTATTACATCAGGCTGGGGAAGTCATGGAGACATCTTCATTTAATTTCGCCCACTTCAGGTAAATGATCTAGGCATAGCACTAGCCCCTGCATGGCATGGAATTCTACTGAGCAGCACAGCAGTGGTGCAGGAGGGCTCTGGGTTCTCCCCTTTAGCATTAGAGGTAACAAAGATCAGTGAATGAGATCCCCCCTATGGTTTTGTCTGTTCTTAACTGCTAATGACTACTCTAACACACAGGCTACAGGGGAACTCAGACAGTTGTTTATATGACTTTAAGAAAGTGTGCCAGGAAGCCCGGTGTTGGTGGCACTAGCCTGGTCTATCTAATAAGTGCCAGGACAACCAGGGCTATGTCTCAAAATAAATACATAAACAGACGGACAAGTAAATAAAGTGAAGTGTGTCAGGGTAACATTACATTTGTTGTTTTAGGTCTGCCCTCATCCATGCTGTGAGAGCTCAGTCTAGAGACATGATCGGCTTTCTTCTCCAGCAGGGTGCAGATGCGTCTTTGGTGGATGTCTACGGGGCAACTGCACAGAGTTACACTGTTTTTGAAACCTTTCAAGTGTAAGTGTTTATATTACAGTACTGGCTAGCTTCAAGTTGATATTTTTAGTAGTTATAACCACCCCATCCTTATATATCCAATGAGATTTCACAGTCCAGTCTGTGGCATGGCCATGAGTTAGTGGACTTCATGGACCAGAAGCCAAGCAAACACTGGACTAGGTTGGAGGAGGGACAGGTACAGAGTTCTCTATCTTAGGACCTTGACTTTGGCAGCACTGGCGACTGAACTGAGATTCGCAACTGCTTGGTATGGTCTCCCCTGCGCTAGACCCCCAGGCCCTGTCTCAGGAGGGCTAAGTCCTTTACTTAGGATCAGAGCACCACTCTTCCACTCCGATCCTAAGACCCACACAAGGTGTATAGATAGTGTTCCGGCTTTACGTGGCCTTATTGGTTGTTTGGGTTTTTTAATGTCAAAATTAGCAGAAAATGTGGCTATCTTCTCCTGAGTTCTCTCCCTCAATATTGTTCTTTTTTTCAGTTTTTAAAATATTATTTTTATATGTATGGGTGTTTTGCTTGCATGTATGTCTATGAATCTCTTGCATGACTGATGCCCACAGAGGCCAGAAGAGGGTGGAACTGGAGTTACACACAGCTGTGAGCTGCCAGGTGACTGTTAGGATCAAAGCTGGGTCTTCTGCAAGAGCAGTGTTCTTAACCACTGGGCCATCTCTCCAGCCCCTGGCGTTTATAGTTTTTAATGTTTGACGCTTTCTTTCTGGCAAGAGATGCCCAATAACAACGGACAGGCTTTCCTTTGATTCTTCTACATTTAGACTTCTGATTAACGTTTTCAAGGGTTTTCTCAGCCGGGGCAATTCAGGCAGCAAAAGCAACAAGAACCAGTCCTTGAACCCTCAGCTCATCTTTAAAGAGAGGACATTGTACAAATAGATAATCCTGTCACTCCTGGCCGTGGAATCCAGAGGGAGTGTTCCTTGAGAACATTCTAGACTGAGAGAAGTAGAAGCTAGAAGCAGAAAGAGGAACCTGCAAGCTTGATTGTTTCAGAAGTTGACATAGAAACAAATAAAAACTGCCATATAGCTGGCTGTGGTGGTGCACTCAGGGGGCAGAGGCAGGCAGATCTCAAAGTTGGAGGCCAACCTGGTCTACAGAGTGAGTTCCCGGACAGGCAGGGCTGTTACACAGAGAAACTCAAATAAACTTAACCAAACCAAAATAAAACAAAAAACTAGATGGCTTACTTTTCCTAGGACTTAAAAAAAAAACTTCTAGCTCTCCTCTCACTGTAGTCTTTGCTCTGCAGGCTTTCCAAAGGCCCCAGTTCTACAACAAGAGAGGACAGATATAATTCTGATGCCAAGGTAAAAAGCTGATTTGTCATGCTGACTTTTTGATTTGGGGCTCTGGGGATTTGGTTCAGTGGTGGGGTGTTTGCCTGGCTAGTATAAGGGCTAGGTTTGGTCCTCAGCTCCGAGTGGGGGACATGTGCTGTAAATTTGTTCTCTCTCTCTCTCTCTCTCTTCTAATAGCAAAGTTGACTTGGGAAGAGGCTTTAACATAGATTTTTATGCGCAAACATTAATTCAAAGAGGGGGTGGGGTAGGAGACAGAACAATAGTCTGAAAACTTGTGTGGCCTTTCTCAATGAAGAGTCAGACTTGTTTTACAAATAGCCCTATATACAATCTTGGTGGCTTCTGAGGTGACATTGTTCAGGGGTTTGGTGTGCTGGCTGGTTTCTGTCGATTTGATACAAACCTAGACATATCTGGGAAGAGGGAATTTTAATTGACAAAATAAGATTGCCCTACAGGCAAATCTGCGGGCATTTTCTTGATTGATGATTTGTGTGGGAGGGGAGGGCCCAGCCCATTGTGGGTGGCTCTACCTCTGAGCAAGAGCTCCTGGGGTATGTAAGAAAATGAATGGAGCAACAGGGATTAACCAGCTAGGAAGCCACACTCCTTCCTGGTCTCTGCTTCCGTTCCTACCTCCAGGTCTCTGAGTTCCTGCCCTGGCTTCCTTGCAAGCTGTAAGATGAAATAAACTTTCCTCTCCAAGTTAGTTTTGGTCTTGGTGTTTTATTACATCAAAAGAAATCCCATCTAAGACAGTTGGTAAGGAATACTTGCCCCATCTTTTGTAAATGAGATCTTAAGTGAATCTTAAGTGAATAGCTCCTGGCTGTGATTGGGCAGGTTGGAGGCTGATCTGAAAACACTCTAAGTCACAAGGTCAAAGGAATCCCTGTTGACAGGTCACAGGGAGTTGAGAAATGCACTTTGACTATAAGCGAAGTTCATGAAACTGTGAGATTCTCAGAGCTGCAGGTTAACAGCTGGGACATGGGAAGGGTAAACTGGAAGCTCACATTCGTTTAGGTCTAAGCTTGGTTCATCGCTATGTGAACAGTATTATTTGAAGTGTCTGTACAAAACCCTGTCTCTCTATAAACAATCTTCACACTGATTTGATTGTGTTGGGAGGCCTGGATCACCTGACTGCCATTTCCTGAGAGTCCAGACCAGGGCTTCCTTTCCCTTTGCTTGCTCCACTAATTTCCCTGTCTTTATATCCTGCCTCAATTTCCCCTTTAGTACCCTTTTATCTGAGGCTTTTCTCCCTTGATTGTAAGAACTGTATATGAGCCGGGCGGTGGTGGCGGGCGCCTTTAATCCCAGCTCTTGGGAGGCAGAGGCAGACGGATCTCTGTGAGTTTGAGGGCAGCCTGGTCTACAAAGCTAGTTCCAGGTCAGCCAGGGCTACACAGAGAAACCCTGTCTTGAAAAACTAAACCAAACAAACAAAAGAACTGTATATGAAGCCTCTTCGCTGCTGAGCAGGGATGCAGGCTCTGTCCACCCAGGGACTCAAAAATCTTGATCATGTTGATGGAATAGAACCTCATGAAGGTTGTGAATCTGGGGGGAGGCTGTTCTTATTCAGGATGTCAAAGTATGCTGTGCCTGGGCCTAAGATCAGTTTGGATGTGTAAATCACAGAGGACCGAGAACGTATTGCCCAAGTTGTTAGGAATGTATACAGAGTCTTCTAATAATGGTACAAGCTGTCTTAAGTACTTCTGTTAGTATTTCAAGGGCTTTCTGGATTGAGACCCTTGATTTGTGAAAATAAATATTAATGCTTATATCATAACAGTATGGCTAAGACAACAAAAATTTCAAGGCGTAATCTAGCATCAGAACAAATGAAAAGAAAACTACAGTGAAGTTGTAATCATTGCGTCTGATTATAGCCACAATGAACAATTTAACCACTGCGAGGTCATAAATGTGGATAGAGTTATAGCTGGACTTGACTTTGTACTTGAGATCTTTTCTTGTTTTAGACTTTGCAGCCTTACCATGTTTTGCTGGTAACTGGCATTGCCCTTAGGTGGTTCTTGAGGCTCTGGAGACTCAGAGGGGACAGACTTCGTTCTGGAATAAGGCTACATTAAGTTGATTTCTTCCGGTCTGGGGAGAGCAGGCCACAGTGTACCCTTAAGGTGTCAGCAGATACATATATTCTTGGCATGGAGGCTTCTGAGTAAAATCTAATTGTGCTCTCCGCAGAGGCTGAAGCAAGTGTGGGTGCTATAGTAGAGACTGAGCAGCAAGCTCATGTGAGGTTTGGGGGGGCTGCAGATTTTAGTCCTCCCCAAGTTATTAGAGGAATTGCTAAAGTTCTCAGGTAACATGGATCATGAATGCCTCCTTTGGTCTCCCAGAGGCAATGGGATCTTGTGTTCTCTGGAGTCCCCTTGCCATTTTCAGATCGCCTGCATCCTTGGGTGGCCCACGCCCTCGCTGCTTCTGGATTAAATGATTATAACTAATTCTTGCAGAGATATCAGAGCCATTTCCTCATCTTCAGCAATGTGTTTGCCAGTGTCCCATAACTTAGGAGAGATTCCAGATGTAACAACTTATCCTTAGGCCATGTCTAGTGCAATTCCCAAGCTGGTGCTGATAGTAACAATGCCTTTTAGATTGAAGAAAAGTACTTCTAACCAAGGTAAGAAGTTACTGAAAGACAAATGTCTAGACTTTCCTAAGAAGAAATTCATGTAATTAAACCATGCAAACACATTGCAACATTTAACAAACAGGTAAATTTTCCCAGTGTCCCACTGGGAGCGTGGGTGCCAGGAATTGGCACCAGGGGTCCTGACACCTTAAATACAATTGAATTAAATGAGTATTTTCTGTAACCTTGAGGGAATGTTGACGTCATTGGAAAAGATCTTCACTGTGTGCTCCTGAAGCTTGGCTTCCTTAACTCTAGACATTTGCCACAAAACATGGGGCAGAAGAGACAGGGAATCTTGAGATGTGAGCGGGAACAGTAAGTGGTTTGGACCATTAGAGACTGCAAAAACCCCCGGAGCATCTATTGGCTGGTTCCTCTAACAGCCTGTTGAAGCACATTGACAAACATGGTTGTCTCATTCAGAAGGGAACACTCTGGAGACCAGATACCACAACAATGGGCCAGTGTGTTACCACCTGCAGCAAGCCACAGTAGGCGAGGGAGTGGCCACCCTTGAGGAACAGGTGTAGTGACCATGTACGGATAGCCTTGTCAATAGAACCAATGAGGAAGAAGCTGCCACCGCGGCTTGCCAGTTGCTTTCCTGTTGACTAGATATGAACTTAAAATAGTTTCTTCCATGCACAATGCACATTTTTGTAATGTTCTCCAACACTTTGGGACAGGAATTGAGGAAGCCAGCTCAGCAGTGAAAAGCCGGCTTATGAATTCTATAAACAGTCCATCTAAATCCCAGAGTTCTAGCTATGGAATCAAAGAGCACTGGCTCACCAAGCACTAATTACAAATGGAGACAAGTGTCATGATAAATGCGACAAAAGCGATGGACGCAAAGGTCCCAGAAAAAGGGAGGCACGGAAGGAGAAGCCTGTGCAATGGTGGTGGTCAGTAAGGGGGCCTTCCACAGTACGGGCAGCATCTGGAGGGAGCGGGACCTTTGTTTACCCTGTGCCCATGCTCTGGTCACAGGTCCATTCAGAAGATGCCAGTGCAGTTGAGAAATATGCAGTTTGTTGAGTTCTTGGCCTTTTCACTTTCTTTTTTAACAGGAAGACTGCTTATCCTGTGCACAATCCACCCAGGACGGGGAAAGGATGGCACAATCGCCAGCGAGGGAGGAGAGCAACAGAGGCGCAGCGGACAAGCTGGGGAGGTACAGCTGCCTGCACATTCCCTTAGTTAAAACAAGCACCATGGTGGTATGAGATGGTCTCTGTAACATTAAACTGATAAGAAGAAACTCGTTTGTAAGTGTTGGTAGTTCCTGAAAACCACGCCAATAAAGCATAGGCTAATGATAGCAGCCATTATTTGAGTGGGAAAGACAAGACAACCAAATACAGTAACTTAGGCTCCCTTTAAAGCTGCCTGATATTTGCCATTTGCATGCAGCCTGACTGGTCTTATGAGCTCAGTCCAGTGTAAAGGGATCCCCAAGAGTTGCTTTACTTTCTCCCTCTGGTGTGTATATGTGGGGAGAAAACCCTTTAACTGGATAAAAGTCATCGGTGTGTGGTAAAGGAAAGAGTTAGTTTAGTTTCCAGCCTTCCCATTTGCTGGGAGTGTGACTTGGGACGGTTTATAACTGTTTCCCGTTGTGAGGTGTGTGGCGCGGGCTTGCAGGTGGCGCTAAAAGCCACTGCTTCCGTGAGTGCTGACTCCCAGATTACCGTTGCCAGTCACTTTACTGCTCTGTTATTGTTGCTCGTGTTTTTTCTGCAGAAATCTTTTACTTCTTTGACCTTTACCTGACCTCCAGCACAACTCGTCCCACAGAACTTTCCATTGCAGCAGTGGCCTGCATCCTCCCCACACCCGTGACCCGTGTGGAGAACTTAAAAGTACTATGGCTGTTCTAGTCAACTTAGACACACACAGACAAACACCAACACATGCACACAGGCACGCGCACAAATCCACAGCGATCACTTGTAGAATAGCTTTAGCAGAGGTACTATCCATGGAAAGCCCTCTGATTAATATAAAGTAGGTTGTGATACACGGTGAGCTAAGAGGCTTTCTCTTTTATCTGTCTCTGTTTATAGCTTTGAAGATAATTTGTAAGAATGAATACTTAACAATAAAGCTCCCAAGTTATTCATTTTGTTCCTATATGTGAATTTTCAATTCTACTGGGACAGCTAAGATCCCAAATATAACCAAAATATACGACCACACGAACAGACTAAAAGACAAAAACCACATCCATGTTCATACTGTTAGATGCAGAAAAGGTTTTTGACAAGATCTAATGTCCCTTCATAATAAAAGTCCTGGAGAGACTAGAGATACAGTGGGCATGTCTCAACATAATAAGGCAATTCAAGGCAATCCCACAATCAACATAAACTTAAATGGAGAGAAACTCGAAGTGTTTCCACTAAAATTAGGAACAAAACAAGGTTCTCCCCTCCTCCATACTCATTCAGTCTGGTGTTTGAAGTCTTTGCTAGAGCAGTAAGACAACTAGCTGATGGAGATCAAGGAGCTGCAGATTGGAAAGGAAGAAGTTAAAGTATCTTTATTTACAGGTAATATGGCTTTATACGTAAAGGAACCTAGAAAATTCACCAGGACATTTCTACAGCTGATAAACACTTTCACTAAAGTGGCTGGATATAAAATTAGCACGCAGAAAAATCAGTAGCCTTCTGTTTTAGGATTTCCGTTGCTTCAATGAAATGCCATGACCATAAAGCAAGTTGGGGAGAAAAGGGTTTATTTGGCTTACACTTCCACATTGTTGTTCATCACTGAAGGAAGCCAGGACAGGAACTCAAGCAGGGCAGGATCCTGGAGGCAGGAGCTGATGCAGAGGCCATGGAGGGATGCTGCTTCCTGGCTTGCTCCTAATGGCTTTCTCAGCCTGCTTTCTTATAGAACCCAGGACCACCTCCTCATGGATGGCACCACCCACCATGGGCTGGACCCTCCCCCATCAGTCACTAATCAAGAAAATGCTTTACGCTGATCTTATGGAGGCATTTTTCTCAATTAAGGCTCCTTCCTTTCAGATAACTTTAGTCTGTGTGCCAGGTTGACAGCAGGCTGGCTGGCTTGCCTTCCTATATACAAATGATAAATGGACTGAGAAAGAAATTGGAAACAGACCTTTAATAATAGCCTCAAAAATATCTTGGGGCAATTCTAACCATGTAAGTGAAAGACTTGTATAATAAAAACTTAAAGACATTGAAGAAATTAAAGAAGACACCAGAAGATCAAAAATATCTCCATGCTCATGGATCAGTAAAATTATTATAATGAAATGGCCATCCTACCAAAAACTATCTATAGATTCAACACAATCCTCATCAAAATTGCAACACAGTTCTTCACAGAAACTGAAAAACTAATTTTAAGATTCATATGAAAATACTCACACATACAATAGCAGGGCTGCTAAAACAATCCCGAATAATAAAAGAACTGCTGGAGGTCTCACCTCCTCAGATTTCAAGTTGCATTACAGACGTATAGCAATAAAAATAGCATGGTGTTTGCATTAAAACAGATATATTGATTAATGGAATTGAATCAAGGAACCAGTTATAAGTCCACTCACCTGAGTTTCGACAAAAAAAAAAAAAGCCAAAAATATGCACTGGGGGAAAGAGAGCATCTTCAACAAATGGTGCTGGTCTAACTGTAGAAGGAGTTGCTGGCAGGCCTGCTTTTCGTCCTACCCAGCTACCGCACGGCTAGCTTAGCCCCGGAAATAATTACATGGAAACTGTATTCTTTTAAGCACTGCCTGGCCCGTTAGCTCTAGCCTCTTATTGGCTAATTCTCACATCTTGCTTTTACCCATATTTAGTAATCTGTGTAGCACCACAAGGTGGTGGCTTACCAGGAAAGATCTTAACCTGCGTCTGTCTCAGAGAGAAGAGGCATGGTATCTGACTCACTTCCCTTCTTCCCAGCATTCTGTTCTGTCAACTCTGCCTATCTAAGCTGCTGTCCTATCAAAGACCAAGGCAGTCTCTTTATTTGACCAATGAAAGTAACACATAGACAGAAGACCCACCTACAACAGAACTGAATAGCACAAAATTCCAAATGGATCAAGGACCTCAACATAGGCCAGACACATGAATCTGGTAGGAAAGAAAGTTAAACAGCCTTTAACTTGTGGGCACAGGAAAAGACTTCCTGAACAGAACACTGGTAGCAGAGGCACTAAGACCTACAATAAATACCCAGGACCTCATGAAACTGAAAGCTTACGTATGGCAAA